ACATACGTATGTACGTACATACATGCACACATACATACATGCATACATACATACATACATGCATACATAATACATACATACATACATACATACATACATACATACATACATACATGCATTACTATTTACATTACATACATTGCATAAAATACATTGCATACAGCGCATACATTATATGCATTACATGCTTCATGCATTGCATACATACATACATACATACATACATACATACGTACATACATACATGCATACATACATGCATACATGCATACCTGCGTACGTATGTAAGTATGTACATACATACATGCATGCACATTATACACAGTACGTATGTATGTCTGTACGTATGTATGTATGTGTGTATGTATGTGTAGAGGATGTTTTTGGAAATGTTTATAGCGAAGACTTCTAGCATTGTGATCGGAAGGCCTAGAACAACCACAGCACGATCGCAACCTACTCATAATATGAAGCAGAAGTTGCTGCTGCTGCTGCTGCTGCTACGGTACTTGCTGGTATCAATAGTTGCTTGCCCATGAACAGTACCAACAATCATAGTAGTCACGATGGTCGGAACAACCAACTGACAGCAGCAATAGTGGTTCTGGCAAGCGGATGGTCGTAGCAGTGGAAACAGGTATAACAGTCAGGCGATTTGATTCCCAAGACCACCGAGACCTGGTTGCCGTGTGGTGCTCGAAAGCCCACATGTCCACCCGCTATCAGAAGTACAGCCGTGCACTCTCATGCCTATAGTAAACCCTAAATTCAAGATCCGTATCCGGCACAAAGCTGGCTAGGGAGAAGCACGCCGTCCAGAAAGCTTCGTAAGTGTAGTTACGTATCACTAGCAGCAGGACCGGGACGACCGGGACAGACGTGGCTTGGCATGACCCTACTAAAACCCAAAACCTCGAGGTTTTGCAAGAACTTTCTCCCTTGGGGGTATGTCGGAGGATGCAGTATGAAGTAGAAGCCTGAGAATATGAGCAGTACCATTTCTTAGGTTCCGCAAATATAGGCATACCATAAAATACACCGAAATCCTGTTGCAATTACTAAGTCCCTTACTTCGGAGCGTTGAAGCATGAGAACTTCCGCTCGGTTCTCGCCTGTTGAAACTGCCAGCTTTGCCGTCTCGTCGCCGTCATGTTTCCACAGCCACCACGGCGCCGGGAGTTATGCAAGCTACGATAAGATACGTTCGTGGCGCACTCCTGCAACTGTGTTGCGAGAGGGGCTGCCTGCTAGCAAGCGAAGTGTTGTATTGGCAGCATAACGGAATTTATCAGCAGCTGTCTCAGTACAAATGATTGGCAAGAGCTGAAATAACAGCAGTAGTTGCAACAGTAATATCCGCCGTAGCAGTGGCAAGAGAAGCAACTGAGATGATAACAAGCAGTAGCCCAAAACCCGGATGCTCGAAGACACGAGCTGAAATAGTTTCTTGCTCAGGTGACCGCGACCGTCGCGACGATCGCCGGGATGATCGGCGGAGGCCCGGTTTTGCAGCCAGGTGGTATTTTTTGGAGAGCGGATGTGGAAAGTTCAAGGGGCCTTCCGTGAAATGCAACCTCGAAATTTCTTAAACCCTAAACCCTAAACCTCGAAATCCTGGGCCCCAAACCACCCTAAACCCGTAACCCTAAACCGTAAACCGGAAACCCTAAACCCAAAACCCCTAAACCCTCAACCCCTAAACCCTAAACCCCTAAACCCACAACATTCCCCTTGCCACCTCTGAGTCCGGAACAGGCTTGAGCGCCATCCCAAGTGTGTGCCCGCCAGCCCAAAGCCCTAGAGAACAAAGCCGAAATGCCCACATACATATATATATATACTTTTATAGATATATATCTATATATTTCTAGATAGATAGACAGATACATAGATAGACAGATAGAGTATGGAAGCTTGAATAATTGCCATTATTTGTTCTTGGAGTTCCTTGCTAGATTTGTGCTATCATCTACCCCAGAGCCCTCGTCTGACTGTTGAGGCCCCTACGCTCAAGTCAGCACCAGGGATTGCATAACGATGTCACGTTTCTTGGGGGTTCGAGGTCTGGCCGTGATGTGGGTAGTTCTCTAAATTAGGGTCCCTTTTGGCCCCAAAATAGGACGGCACCCCAACCCCTTGACCCCAAAACCTGAAACACTAAGCCCTAAGCCATCAGCAAGCCCAACAACGGGTTAAAGAGAATTACCACCATTGTTTCGAATGCATCGTTTGTATAAGCAAAGCAAAGTACCACTAAGAAACTTCCCTGGTTCGATATCCACGGAGTAGTAGGATCCGCATTCACACTTCCTGTTTCGGGGTGAAGGGTCTGGGATTTTGGGTTTCGGGCTTAGGTTTAGGGAATCCACATCCAGAGCTGTCATGCGAACGAGGGTCTTCCCCATCAGGTGTTTACATTCTTCCTTAACTTCCATAAGCAACAAATCCTCACTGCCTAAGGATTCCCGAGTCCTGAACTTGTGTTTTCTTTTACAAGTGTACAGTCTTAAGAGGGAACAGAAATGGCTTTTCTTGGCCCTTACTCCCCCTCAACCCTAAACCCCAAACTCTAAACCGTAGGCCCTAAACCCCAAACTCTAAACCGTAGGCCCTAAACCCCAAACTCTAACCGTGAAGCCCTAAACCCCAAACTCTGAAATGTGATGCTACAGACGCTCTGCGTCGGACAGTTGTGAGTAGGTTGATGGTGTATTTGATATTTGTGCAGTTGTACAAACTTTCTGATGGATCTTGTAGTGTTTCACTTTCTGACCACGGCTCGTGGTCGTTCAACCGACACAATACTGAACCGCAAACCCTAAACCCCACAGCCTAAACGCTCCAAGAGCCGCCTGGAGCAAAGGGAAAGCCCGGGGACCCCTGAGGAGCCGCAGCAGGGACCGGCGCGACCGAGGTCGAGGTGACAGCCGCCTCTCGTGCTGCAGGGGGGTTTGGGGTTTAGGGTGTAGGGTTTAGGGTTTAGGGGCATTTTTTCTTCTTTAAGCTGAGGTCTTGTTCGAACAGTCTTACGCAGTTTCGAAGCATTGTTTAGAGTTGTTTATGTTTGGTGCGCTGCGGTAAGGACCCGGGGGCTTAACAAAGAGGCTATAAATAGAGCCATAGACAACCCCAAGTCGGCCCACCCCTCTGCTTAGAACTCATTTAGCCCGAAGTGCCGTCTCCAGTGCTCTGAGGCGACCGCCGTCGCCGCTGAACCGATCCTTGCGTGTCTGAGCTGTGAAGGTTGCAGCCTAAAAAATTACAAAAACTAATTTGGGGTTCCTTATTCTAATTATGGTTTAATAAACCCCAAACCCTTATTCTAATTATTGAGGCCCCTACATTATAGGGGTTCTGTAGGGGGCCTCTGATAGGGCTTTGCTTCAGAAGACCTTGCTGTTATGTGTCCTGATTGGTGTCCGTTGCGAAAGCTTTGGGTCTTTGGAGAGGGAAAGCCCCGATATAGCAAGCTTTAGCCCTGATGAACAAAACCTCCCGGCCAGACTCTCTAAGCCCTGAACGCTTAAACGCAAAAATAAACCGTAAACCCCTAGACCGTGGGTTTGGTATGTGTGATGATGCTCTCGATCATGACTAGAGTGAGCTTAGATTGTGCGCAGTCTTGCCTGCCTTGCACGCGTGCGAGAGTCGAAACCGCAAACCGCAAACCTTGAAGCCGTAAGCCCTAAATGCGAAATCCATTGCCTTGTACGAGTGTGAGAGTCGAAACTCTTCGTCGCCGAGGCCACGAGTGGGTCGATGTGACCCGCAAGGTGAAACTGCCGCTGGTGAGGGGATCATGTAAGGTTTAAATATAGAAGCCTAAATATGTACCAGTATTATTCTTTAGGGTTCCGTCGTACAAACATAGTATATAGGAGCCCAAAACCTTCATCCTATTTCGATTTACAGTAGGTTTCCGGCTCTTGGGTTTTTGGGGCTGGGATGAAGCTCAGGCTTCTGGGCGCAAGTTTACAGCCTTGGATGTAGGGTTAAAGGACAGGGTTGTAGATTTAAAGGGTACCCGGGCTGATGGTTTAAGGCGCCTGGTTTTGGGATTCATTCCTAGGTTCAAGAAACCCCATAAGTTGCGTCTTAGAGTAGGCTTCGCAGGCCTAAGAAAGCCTAGACTCCTGTTATAGACCCTTACGGTAACCCTTCCAGACACTTTTAAAAGGAACCCTTACAGGAACCCTTTTGGATCGTTTCGAAAGTATAAAAGGAACCCTTACAGGAACCCTGGTGGTCTTGTCAGGTCTGCTTCAGATTTTGATCTTTGAGTCTGTTGCGAATGACGCGACATGCATCTGCGAAGCAGGGGTGGCGCAGAGCTGCCGGTAGAAGCTAAGAAACCCATTGAAAACTCCAGATAAGCCGTAAGCTCGAAAAAAGGGTCTAAACCCCTAAACCCTAAACCCTAAACCCTAAACCGTAAACCCTAAACCCCTAAACCCCTAAACCCTAAACCCCGAGCCTATTTTTGCATCTTCGCAGATGCTCGCGAATATCTCGACTTACGGCCTTTGCCTCGGAGGCAAAAGGCATGCCGCAAGTGACATGCGTGGGGAAAAACGGAGCCGGCACGGAGCTTTGGCTTCGACTTCAGGATTTAGGGTCTAGGGAATATATAGGGGCCTTAGTAATTAGAATAGGGTTTTGGGGTGTGATCGTCTACGTGTACTAAGGAACCGCAAGTAATACTATTATATTAGACCTCAAACCCCAAATTTCAAGGCATGAAGCCTGTTAGACTGTAAGCACTCAACCAAACGAGCCCCGACACCTAAACTTGAAACCTTGGAATCCCGCCGCCCTGAACCCTAAAGGGCTTCAACCACTTCGCCTACATTTTCCGAGTCGCGAGAGTGCAAAGGGCTTAAACCCCCTTGGATACCAGCCATTTCTGGCAGCTCATGTCCAAGGCAGCAAAGAATGCGTATTGTGGTTTTCAAAACCAGAGCCCCTTATGTTGTCTTCTGAAGCTCCCATGTCTCAAACTTACGTGCCTGCTGTCGGTGGTGGAGGACTTCGGCACGGGCTCATTCGGGACCTCCTTGAGGATTTTCGACTGCTTGCAGGGATCGCAGAAGCATACGCAACCTCTATCGTCGTGCTCTTTAACAGTCGGAGAACTATAACAAAGATGTTATGAACATATTTCTACACTTGGTGCAGTAAATGTTTAACCTGCGCTCCCCTTATGTCAATATGCATGACTCATAATTGAGTTGTTTCAGTGCACAAGGTGTCAGGTTTAGTTCTGACTGTGTTCGTGCCGACGGGGTTCATGAACATAAACTTGCTAATTACCAGCTCAAGACGGCATCACTGCTGCAACTCAGGATATGTTTTGTTCATCCTTGCAAAGACCCGCAGCCCTAAACCCTAAACCCTAACAGCTAAACCCTAAACCCGAAACCCCTAAACCCTAAACCCCTAAACCCTAAACCTAAACCCCAAAACCCTAAACCCTAAACCCATAAATCCTAACCCCTAAACCCTAAACTCTAAACCCATAAACCCGAGCCCCTAAACCCTAAACCCTAAACCGTAGACCCTTAGCCCTAAACCCTAACCCCTATACCGTAAACCTTAACCCCTAAACCCAAGACTTACATCCTAACCCCTAACCGTTAAACCCTAAACGTAAACCCCAAAACCCTAAACCCTTACCCCGAACCCCTAACCCCTAACCCCTCACCCCTAAACCCTTAAACCCTAAACGTAAACCCCAAAACCCTAAACCCTAACCCCGAACCCCTAAACCCTAAACCCTAAACCCCAAACCCACCTTCAAAGCGGAGCGCGGCTGTGGGCTGCAGCCGATGGAGCCATGGGGTCCTCTGGCACGGAAGGCCGATGTGTAGTACAGGGGCCAGAATCGTTGGGGGCTTTGAGTTTAGGGTTTGGCGACATGCAAGCCTGATGTAAAAGGGCTTCGGGTTTAGGGTTTAGGATACTAGTCCGTGGGGTTCCTGATTATAAGCATCCTATACTCAACCGTCTTCTATATAAGCCCCCCAGAGTGAAGCATCATGTCCCAGATCTTATTTACGACCAGTAGATAGTATTGATCAATGCTGCCAGCTTTCGGTTTAGGGTTTAGGGTTTAGGGTTTAGGGTTTAGGGTTTAGGGTTTAGGGTTTAGTTCAGCAATTGGCTCGTTTCGAGCACGTCGGTTGTTAGGGTTTTTGCAGCTCAGGGGTTTTTGGCAAACAGATGGCTTCAGACAACCCTGAGACCCGAAGCCCGGAACCCCGTAAGCCCTAAACCTAAACCCATATTTGGTGTGCAAGAGTCCTCCTGCCACGGCCCGGTCCGAGCTAGGACTTGCTAAAGCATGCTGGAGGAGCGCAGAGGCTACGGCTACTCAGCCGCAGGCCATAGAGAGCTGACGAAAAAGGCTCTGATCCCTGGGATGCCGGCATGGTGGATGCTTTGCGAGATGCCAAGAGCTGACCCTAAACCCTAACCCCTAAACCTTAAAGGGTTTGGGGTTTAGGGTTCCCTTGAACCTCTCCGACTCCAGGCGAAGTACGAAGCCTGTTGCAAAACGGTTTTTTTGAGCCCTAAATGTCAATGCCGGCCGATCACAGCTACGGTGCCCGAGATTCCCCAGCCTCCAAGTCATGGTCGATATGATTCCCCAGAGAGGCCACATTAAGGAATCTACCTGCAGGGGGCTTATATGATGATTTAAGGTATATTCCTTGATGAAGGGGTGTTGGGCTTGAGTTTTGCTGCGCACCCTGCGCAGGCATTGAGTTGGCCTTCTGGCATATGCAAGCGTTGCATTCCTGCTCGTGAGACACTTCGACAGCAACCAGGTGCAACCTGAAGAAACATGATGCGATTGTCCCGCATACGCAGTGCTGCTTTTGACAAGGAGTGCAATCGGCTGAAGGATGTTTGACTACATTGTTACGCTCGACAGCTGCACTCAAGCTTTCCTGAGCCGTGCTTGAGCAGCCTTGGGATGCGACAATTTAATTGCTGCTGGGAAACCGACATTGAGTATGCGGCGGATTAGCTCCATGCCCAAAAGTATGTTCGACAACAGCTGTGGAGCTACAAGCCCCAAACCATAGACCCGAAACCCTAACGCACCAAAACATGGGTTAAACCCAAGCAAGCGCAGAGGCACAGAAACAATTTGTCCACCCTTTGCGACTCATTTTGGGCTTAGGGCCTGGGGCTTCTCATATCTGATCTACATTTCGGATCCCGGAATCCTAAGCCCTAGCTCCCAAAACCCTAGGTCCTAGACCCTAAAACCGAAAACCCTCGGCCCTAAACCCTAAACCCTAAACTCGAAAAGGAAAAATCCAACCCAGAACCCTAAGCCAAAGGATTCGGATAAGGGTCCTCGCGCTGGGGCCCTCCTGAAGTTTAGGGTTTAAGGTTTAGGGTTTAGGGGTTTAGGGTTTTGTGGTTTAGGGTTTTGGGGTTTAGCGTTTTGGGGTTTCAGGGTTTGGGGTTAGGGTTTTGGGTTTAGGGTTAGAGTTTCAGGGTTTAGGGAAAGGGTTTTGGGGTTTAGGGTTAGGGGTTCAGGGTTTAGGGTTTAGGGTTTGCCTGGGTTCAAAGAAAGGCTGAGGGTTATCAACCAAGGTCCACATTAGTCCAGTTGCCTTGCGCCAGCAGATCCCTGCAGGATACCTCGACGGCCGTCGGCCGTGCTTGCAGGCCTGGGGTGGAGGTTTTCAAGGCGTACTATAAGGGGTATGGGGTTTAGGGTTTAAGACTACTTGCGGGGTACGATAAGGGTTCAAAACAGGGCTTGTCGCGATTTTAGCACTTTAAGGGTTTTAGCGGGTTCCTATAATACAAGGGTCCTGGAGTTTTCTGGGGGTTTGGGGCTTTCACGTTTTTGAAGATTCGGCCAGCGGTTCAGGGTATAGGTTTGCGAAATTAGGGCTCAGGATATGTCAAAGTTGAAGTTAAAAAATGCTGAGCAGGGCTCAGTGTGTGCGGTTCAAGGTTTGACGAACTTAGAAGATTCAGAAGAGACCCTAAACCCTAAACCCTAAACCCTAAACCCAAACCCTAAAGAAATTACGCCCCTGAGGTGTTCAGTTCCGGCATCGGAGGTTCACGGAAACAGGCATCAGCGAGCTCAGTCTGTAGAGCAGTGGGTTTTATAGAAGAGGGCGCACTTACTTGTGCATCAAAGCCAGAACCCTATAGGCCCTAAACCCTAAACCCTAAACCCACACC